CACGCTTCCATGTGACCAAGCCTTGGAATCAACGAACCAGAAACGCTTTCTGGCATCCTCAGGGGTGAGACCATCGTGAACCATAGCAGCAACAATACAATCAGCAATTCCCACAGCAGCAGCACCAGCACCGAGGAAGACGATCCTCTGATTCTCGAGCTTCTCTCTCTTGACCCTCATTGCACTGACAAGGCCAGCCAGAGCAACCGAGCCAGTTCCCTGAATATCATCGTTGAAGCACAGGATGTTCTCCTGGTACCGTTTCAAGAGGGGGAAGGCATGATCGTTAGTGAAGTCCTCGAACTGGATGAGGACACCGGGCCAACGAGAACGGACGGCATCAACAAACTCATCAACTACAGCATAGTACTCGTCACCATCGATTCTCTTACGACGCTCACCAAGGTACATGTCATCCTCGAGCAGATCCGGGTTGTTGGTGCCAACATCAAGGGTAACCGGCACAGTGCGGCCAGGGTGGATACCAGCACATGCAACATACAACGAGAGTTTACCAATGGGAATGCCCATACCGTTGGTACCAAGGTCCCCAAGACCCAGAATACGAGAACCATCAGTGACCACGATGATATCGGCATCGCGGACGTTGCTGTTCCAAACCATCTCCTTGAAGTTGCCTTTCTCTGAGAGGTTGAAATAAAGACCACGAGCATTACGGAAGATATGACCGAACATTTGGCAGGCCTTACCAACCACAGGGGTGTAGACAATGGGCATCATCTCAGCGACATGATCCACGAGGAGTTTGAAATACAGCGTTTCGTTACGGTCATGTAAACTCTCCAGATATATATACTTTTCAATATCATTGCTATTTTGTGAGAACTGTAGATAGCATCTCCTGGACTGTACATCAAGGTTCAGGACCTTGGGCGGCAACAAGCCGACTAGCCCGAGCTCCTCACGCTCACCATCAGTGAAGGCCTCGGCCTTATTAACAACGGAGTTACGCAGCAGGTTGCAACCACGCTCAGTTACCGTACACACACAATTACTATTGCGAGCAGCGGAACGAATTCCCTTGGCGGAAAGAGGATCAATCATACCCATTTGGAGCTGCAGGAGGACCTGCCTCGCAGAGTTGAAGAAGCAGTCTCGGACATGTTGACCGGTCTTGGCGGAGGTCTCCATGAACAACAATCCGTTCTCACGAGCGAATCTTGCGGCTTCCTCAGCGGTCACCTCACGGCCCAGGACATCAGCCTTGTTGCCGATCAAAACCTTAGTTAGGGTCCTGTCAAGCGCCGGTAGAGTGTCCTGTATGAATTTGATCAGTTCATCGTATGACTCTCGCCTGCTGATATCGTAGACGAAGAAAATAACGGCAGCACCGTGACAATAGGACGCAGTGTACTTGCCCCACACGGTATCCCACATTTGCAGCTTGATCCGATCGTTGTCAACATCAGCTATAGTTTTGGAGAACTCCACACCAGTAGTAGGGGTAGAGGCAACTCGGAAGACGTTCTCAGTAAACATAAGTCTGAGATTCGTCTTACCAACACCAGAGGGGCCAACGAGAGCGTACTGGAGGGAATAGGACCAGTCGTGGAGATGTCGGGAAGTGCTTTGACGCTGATAGAGTTCAGAAGTCAGAAGATGATACCACTCGATAAGAGCCTCGGTGGGGGCAGCAGCCACGATATCATGCATGGGCAACAGACGGACATCAAAGTTGGCCTTGGTGTTCACGGACTTAGGAGCACGAGCGGGGAGGGTCAATGATGTCGAAGCAGATTTTTTCATATTATTTAAGGAGGCCATGAGGGGCAGCGAGACTAGAACAGCTGCAGGCACAGTGTGGGAGAATATGCACGTGGCCAGCTGCGTATGTTGGTGAGTAAGGGGAAATTCCGAGGAAATTTTGGGAAGTTCTCATTGGTTTCTAGACACTTCTACACGAGTTCCTATGTGAACCTCAATAGTAAGCTGGAAAACTCATAAGCTCAGCTGAAGAGAGCGAACAAATAGTCCAATACTGACACGCCAGTCGAATTAAGCCACGACGGACACACAAGGAGTGGTCCCGAAGGAATTCAAACAACAGAGCCTTCAACCTATACAAATTTAGTAATGAATGATCAACGCCGTCGTTACCTTGATTTTCAACGAAGTGCTCAGGTTAACGATGCTAAAGACTTTAACTGCAAGGGCACTCATATTTCAGCCGAACATCCACACGGGGTGAGGACAGCAAGATACGTGGGATCATTTCCTCGAGACAGAGACATACATCAGTGGATTTGGCCCTACGAGACGTCGGTTTTGTTGAGGAAGTCGCATCCAGTGCGTTGTAGTGAGACAGCGAGCGAGATCTTGAAGGAAGTTTTCCTTGAAGCCTTGAAGAACGTGACCTCCCATCACTGTTGAGTCAGTAGTCTCCGAGAGCCCAACCCTGTTTAGAGCGCACTCAGCAACCGGAGCGTTGGTGTGCGCGAGTAAAGTGATCAAGTCATAGCGTGCATCGATCAGAGGATCGATTGATAGCCACAGCTGGGACTTCGATGGTATCGGTAGCAGCGAGGCTTCATGGCTCACATGGCGTCCTCGATCTGTCTTCTGCTTTTCCCTCTAACGAGGCTGCCTTGCTGTAGCTTCTTTAGAGTGGTTCCTTCAGGCAGTTCTACCCTGCTTAGGTAGGGGCTCTTTCTGTTCCCTCCCCGCTGTGCCGCCTAGCTGTGGCGATCCAGCGGTATCGCATTTGATTGTTTCCTTCTCGTAAGTGTTACGTGTTTTAGTACCGTGTGGGTTAGAGCCTCATCTTAGCCAAGCCAACAGAGCTTGTTTAGCACACCTTGAACTGAGTTGGCTCGAGGCTCGGGGGTTCCCCCCCTCTCGGAGGGTAGCTTCTGAACGACTGGTCATATTTAAGCCCTTGTTACTTCGGTAACCCCTCCTGGCATTCCATGCCTCACGCACCACGGCCTCGGCCGAGTGGCTTCAAGCCTCGTGACAGTCCCTACGGACTTCGGTTTGGAGGTTTCTCCTTACCTCTC